TCTCCTCCGTTTCACCTATGATCATTTATTGCTTCATTCCATTATCGATCATTTACTACTTTGTTTCTTTACCCTTGTATCTTTGACTACTTGTGTTCACCTTTGTTTGACCTGTGATAATTTACTGCTTCATTCCATTCTCGATCATTTACTGCTCTATTTCTTTATTTCTATGTCTTTGACTATCTGTGTTCACCTTTAGTTGGCTGATATCTCACAATTAAAGCAGTGTTTACAATTCTCCAGGTACCATTAATAACTTCTACCAATAGCTTTTTAATGTCTTTTGTTGATATTGGATATATTGGTTTGCTGTTATGCTATTAATATGTGCCGATTTTGTTTTATTATCTTTGTTAATGCATAGTTTTGTTATTATATTAATGGCTAGTACTGAGGTAGAGGGCTAGTAAAAGTTCCTTTATACTGTTAATAAATGTTGCTAATCTATGTCTATTTCTTGGTTTTTTTAATCTCATTAGTTAGTAGTTCCCAGGTGTTGACTTGCAGTTTATTTGTATCTTAGTAACTTGCTTACATACATATCTTTATTTCACATGTTTTTTTTTTATATGGCTCTGATGAGCACAATTGATTTTGACACGTTGAGTTTTATATAATTTGTCCAGAGATTATCAAGAATATATCATCCTCATTTGGATTCTGGTTTTATCTACCTTTTTTGACTCGTAGTTTTTGGCTATCTCTTTTCTGTTCCTTTTGCTTATTCTCATGTTTTTGCCTTCTTCGGATTAGTATTTGATTAAAAGTTGTTTACATATATATTAGCTCTCTTTTTCCACTACTGAGTTTTAGTTTTTCCATCTTGTTTTTATATGATTATGATATTTGCCTATGATTTTAACTTATTTTGAACCTCTAGTATTCCTACTTTCACTATTTTAACTGAGATTCATTCACAGGACAACGCTAATGACCCAACAAGTGAACAGAGGCATGCTTGAGGCCCTAAAATGGAAGAACACATCGGCACACTACCAATGAGCACAATCAAGGCTCTACTAGAAGAAATCCTTCCCGTCGAGATAAACTTTTGCGTTCTGAAGGGTATGATTACCAACCCCATAACGAGGGGACATCAGTGACAAGACCTAGAACACGCCGAACACACACCAACGAAATATAAACAAACTAAAATAGAACGGCAGAAATATCAACACCTTATTACAAACACACAAATTAAAACAAGAGAGTAAACACCAAAAGACACCAGCAGAGACTCTGATGGCGCTCCGAGCACCACCACGGATGGGCGAGAGAGCTGCAGCACAACATGCTACTCGAAGAAGACACCCAACTTATCTCCTCCATCGCCATCTCTAATCGCCGAACCAACCACCCCTTGAAGGAACTGTCGATTTGAGGGAGCTAAACCCTAAGGGGCTTACATCTACCGGAGCAATGATGCTCCTAAGGACGGCAGCCAAATGGATGCCGCGCCAATCGTCCCCAACCATCTCTCATTGCTCCCCACCCACGAAATCGACGGCGCCTTCCGGGAGAGATCTAAGCCGCCGCATCTAGTGACTCACCCTCAGAGCCAAGAGTCTGAAGCATTGCCTTACGACGGCGCCGGACTCCGGCCCAGTGAAGCCTACAGTTGAAGTAGCGCAGAAGAAAAAGAAGAACCAAACTCTAGTAGAGCAATAGATAGGGGGAGTTTTTTTCCTTCTTTCACGTTCACACTATAACTCACAACTAGTAAAGTCAGTCATTTAAATTATCAAAACCAACATTTGATTGAGACCAAGATAAAAATTTAATATGAAATTAAATTCTAAGAATACAATATTGAGAAGTTCAGTAATTGCATAACATTTTTAATAAATTTAAAACGCATGGGACTCAAATTACATATTTAATTTTTGATGTTTACATTGAAATTGGACAGGTGATTTAAATCTAATTGCATGAAATTTTTTTTTTTTTTAAATGACCAAATGCATGATATTAAATAGCAAATAATTCACTAAAAAATTTAAAATTATCGATTTAACTTAATGGCATTGTATATATCACTACCACAAATAAATATTGCAGAAACTACAATCACTTTTTTTTTTTTTGAAAAGGAAGTGTTTTTACGATATGGTTCCACGTTGTGTAACTACAACCACATTTTTATTTATCTTTATTTCTACACCAGAGAAATGGCCTTTTTCCTTATTTAGCAAATTTAACTATTCCAATTTTTCCTTTTTTTTAAAAGAAAATGAAAAGGAAGACTTAGATTTATAAAACAAAAGGCCTCTGCGTTAAACATTACTGTGCAGGCATTAAACATACTGTGTATATATATATATCATCTGTCCTCGAACTTGATCACAATAAGCCCTGAACAAATATCACAATAAAAGTAATGTTGATACAAAAACGACAAAACCAAAGAAATACTTCATAAAGACCGAGTTTATTAGAAACGACAAGTCAGACCTGTCGATTCGTTATTGACACAGCATTGCCCTGCCGTCCACAACACGGTATCACTTTTTGGCCACTTCTCCAACCTTCCAATTTTACCCCAGCCCCAGCCCATACAATACAAGACACAACGGCACAATAGGAAACCCTCAATTAATTACAGGCCAATTCCGTAATTCCAAAGCACTCCTCACTTTTGACTCCATAATCCGTTCATCTCACCAATTTGAGTTTAAAATTCGAGTTTTACTGCAGTAAAAAACTCTCAGAAACAGTCATATTTAATTTTTTTGTTATAATATAAAGTTCTCACATAAAGTCACATCTCAACTCGAATTAAAAACTCGAATCAGCGAAGTAAACGAGTCCATAGTACATTAAGATCTTCCCAAAGAAATGAAAGCTCACAAGAAAGGTGAGGAAACCAAGTCCAGTCTTGTAGCTTCAACTTCTGTCCTAACTCTCTTGAACTATTTCAAACACACCAAGACCAAGCCGAATGGCGTTCCGTGTCGCCCAATTCCGTCACTCAATATGCAAACGCTCTCGAAATCGCTATACAATTCTCCAATGCCAAAAAATACGGAGTCTACACTCATTGTTGCCCTTAACTTCTAATTGTTTAGGTAGTTCAAAGCACAACTTATGTTGTTGAATTTTGGTTAACTAATTAGTTTGAATTTGATTTTAGATTTGGTTTTCAATTGGTGCTCAAACTTTCAAGCCATAGTCAGTAGTACTCAAAGGCTCTCCAAGTCGTCCTCATTATTTTTTGTTAATAGAATTGGATTAAAAGGAGATTTTGCCCAAGTCATCGTTGTTTAGTATGGAAGTTAAAACGGAAATATGGTAAATATAGAAAAATGAAACATGCATATCAAGAATATAGATAAAATAAAATAAAATAACTGCTTTATATGATTACCATATCCATTAGATGCTAATTAGTAATTACATCATCGGTACTTGTATATTTGGTGTTCATTGGCAGCCTAAGCTAGATGTTATTCAGGAACGGACTTTACAAGTTTGGACCGGCTAAGCAGATTGGGCTTGAACCTGAAACCCTTCGGGGATGTTTAGTTAGAGGATTCAAACCATAATTTGAATCATAATTCATGATTCGCTACAGTGTTTTCTCTCACAAAAAATACACGTAAATCAAAAATAGTTCTAATAACATGATTCTCTTTCTCCATAAACTTGGGAAAATTTTTAAAAATACCTGGAGCTTTTCTAATTTTTACCCCATAATGTTAGTTCTTATATTTATATTTTTAGACTAAAATTACCCAAAGAATAGAGTTTTTAAAAAATATATTTTTTTAATAAGTCATACTTAAAGATGTAAAATCTGTAATTTTCTAACAAACTTTTAAGGTGCGTTTATTTAAAAAGTTATGCATAATTTAAACCATAATTCTTAATTTTGTGCTTTCTCTCATAAAAAATTTAAATTTTAAAAATTAAAATTAAAATCACTGATTTAAACTCATTAATCAAACGGACCTTTAAAGGAGAAATATAAAGATGCGATATCATATGCCAACTAATAGCATAAACTTAACATTTATAATTATACCATTAAATTTATCAGTAATATCCTGTCAGATTATTTTTTTCTTTTCGACAGAGATATACGAACATCTTCAAAAAAGTATTTTAGAAGAATATAATATTCTACCAAAATATATATTTTAAATCAATAAAGATGGCATAAATATAAATCTGTGAGATTTTGGTGCATGTTAGTGTAATTTTCTGTAAGAGTGAAATATCCATTGCAAATTTGCAATATGGACAATATTTGCACGATATAGTAAAATAACGTTAATGATATTCCTATTTTTTTAAAACATCTTTTAATATTAGTTATACAAATTTATAACCACCCATATAAAAATATATATATATATATATATGAACAATATTCTTATAAAATGAAGAGATTAACAATATTGTTAAACCAAAATTGCACCTTAAACAAAGAATTTAAAGTGATTCTTTTTGCGTAATTATTTCAATTAAATGTTAGAAAAGTTAAACATATAAGAAAATTTCACCAAACATGTTAAAATATATAAAAAAAACTATAAAAATAAAACCATTAAAATAGTTACTACAAATGTTTATAGTATAATATAATCAAAGTAATTATTTTATATTTTTATTGTTTTTAAAATATCTTATAATCATTTCATAAATTTTCCATACAATGTAATTCTTAACATAATTACTTTTTACAAATTTGGAAATTTTTATTTTTACGCAAAATTTGTTGGCTTTGTAAACATTTTTCCGATTAATATGTTAGCAGATCAAAAGGAATATATATATAAAAAAAAAAAGAATAGAAGTTTTCATACATAATAAAAGATCAAATTAAGCTAAAATGTTTTTATTTTTTTTTATTTTTATTTTTTACCATTAAGTTATAAACCTTCTATATCACGTAAATTCGAGTCCCTCCCCCACCCAAGTACCCAACCTCTATTTCCCAAGTAATTTTTATAAATATCTTTTTTTCTTTTTTTTAGACTCGTCATATTTCTCTCTCCCTCTTTCACTTTCTCTCTCTATCTTCCATACACGCACAAAACACAACTGCTTTTAGAGCGAGAAAGCAAGCGAAGCGAATCAAAGAAGCAAAGCAAAGAGGAGAGAGAGAATCGCCGTTTTTTGTTGACGACATCCATGGCGGACAGGCGAGACGAACCGGCCGATCCATTCCTCGTGAACTACCAGCCCTCCGACTTTAAAATCGCCTCGGAGTTCCTCTCCACATGGCTTCCCTTCCTCTCCAGAGACCTCTGCCACAACTGCACCGACATCCTCTCCCGCCGCATTCGCTCCCTCGAATCAGGTACCTTTACTCTCCGATTCTCGACATGATTTAGCTTTTAGGAAGTGGAAATTTCGAAGCTTTTTCGATTTGGAATTCTCGCGCTCGGTTTTTTGCTTAGATGAATTGTGTTTTAACCTAGGAATATGAATTGGGAATTGCTTGGTTTGTTTTTTCTGCAATTGCTATCCGGATAATTCGCTTCGTGAAAGTGGAAAGTTTGACGCTTTTTGGTTTTTGAATTCACTCGTTCGGTTTTTGCTTCAATTGATTATGAGGCTCTTCACCTAGGAACAGGGGATTAGGAATTGTTTGTTTTGTTTCTTCTCTGGTTGCTATTCGGATAATTAGCCTTGAGGAGTTGATTTTTTGCTTGGGTAACCAGGATTCTGGGTTTTTTTTTTAATTTATTTTTTTCTTTTCAATGCGTTATGCTGAAAGAATTAGGGTTAAACCATACAGATTTGACTTTTGGGGTCTTGAATAATTGTGCAGAAGTTGAGGGTGATTCTGAACAGCCAAATCCGGTTGGGGAGTCAAATGATTCGATGGTGGAAAATGTGGAATCGCGGGACAAGATGAATAATAATCACGGTGAGAATTATGATCGGCATTCAGCAGGCAGTGAGAACGATGAGGCAGATACAACTTCATTGGGTAGTTGGAAAGATGGGGCGTGTGGGTCGCCCGAACATGGACCGGCCGAACATGGACCGGATGCTTCTACAAGTGGAGTAGCAGGTGAATCTCCATCTGTGGAGACCCCAAGCCCTCGGATGTCTTGGGCTGACATGGCCCAAGAGGATGAGCTTGAAGAGGAAGAAGAAGAGGAGGGAGAAGAAGATCCTGATTTGAGCAAACGGGTGGTCAATGTAAATGCTTCAACTGGAGAGTTGAGGATATCAAAGGTTGTAGAAAAACCCAAGTTGACTCGGGAACAGAGGGAGCATATTAGGTTCATGAATGTGAAGCGGAAGAAAGATTTTATTTGCTTGGAGAGGATTAAGGGAAAATTAGTTAACATTCTAGACGGGCTTGAACACCACATGGGTATTTTTAGTGCTGCAGAACAGAAGAGGATAGTGGAATATGTTTACATGCTCGAGGAGAAAGGGAGAAAAGGAGAACTGAAAGGTTAGTTATTGCATAATCTATAACATAGAATACTTGTAACATGTTTGATCGTTCCCTTTTCATACTATTGTGTCTGAAATGGCATAAAATATAATCAGGCAGTAAAAAAAGCCATAAGAATTTTGTTGTCCTTTCTGTTAGGTGTTAGCCTTTAATTTTAAGTTAAGAAGTTTTATGTTATGTGGCATTCTAACTTTACTCGTTGACTTAATGCAGAACGTACGTATACAGCACCTCAAAAATGGATGAGGGGAAAGGGACGTGTTACTATTCAATTTGGATGCTGTTACAATTATGCAACCGTATGTTTTTCCATGTTGTACTAATAGTTTTGAAGTTTTCTATACCAATTTTCTGGTTCATCTTGGGAGGATAGTTGGGCGGTATTAGTATAATTATGAAGAGATGTTTAGAGAAGAAAGCAGTGCTAACTTACAATTTCTGACTCTGCTTGCAGGATAAACATGGTAATCCTCCTGGCATCCTCTACAATGAAATTGTGGATCCTCTACCAGATCTTTTCAAAGTGATCATTCGGAGGTTGGTGAGGTGGCATGTAATTCCTCCAACTTGTGTACCTGACAGTTGCATTGTCAACATATATGAAGAAGGGGACTGTATACCTCCCCATATAGACAATCATGATTTTGTGCGGCCCTTCTGTACTGTGTCGTTCCTTAGTGAATGCAATATACTTTTTGGGTCAAACTTGAAGATTGTTGGTCCGGGTGAGTTCGCTGGTTCGTACCCGCTGCCGTTGCCAGTGGGGTAAGTATGCTATGCTGTGTCTTCTGTCATTCTGTCATTTGCACTTGTTTTTCATTCTGGATTGAAAATCTTAAGTCTCATGACGATGTCGTTTCCTACAGATCTGTACTTGTTTTAAACGGTAATGGGGCTGATGCTGCTAAGCATTGCATTCCTGCAGTACCTACAAAGAGGTAAGAGTGAAGTTAACAATATTTATATTTGGATTTGATTCCTTGGCGCTGATTGATATTTTTTGTTCCATGCCGTTGATGATGTTTTTCTCTTTCTTTTTACTTAGGATATCTATCACATTTAGAAGAATGGACGAATCCAAGCGACCGCAAGGTTATGCCCCAGAACCCGATTTGCAAGGGTTACAACCGTTGTCTTATGAGGCAGAGAAGACTACCAAGTTAAATAGTGAACGTCCTGTGAGGAGACATTCAAACAGAAGAGGGGGTAACATTGATGCTAGGGGATCCGCTGGGAGAAGTGATCCCCGTTTGGAGCCCCGTTACTTAAATCGAGGTCAATGGGGGCCAGGGAACTGGAGAAGATCAGGTTGAGAATCTGTGCTGCTGATGCTGATAAATAACCTCTCTGTTGTTGCATCTGTCATTCAAGTTCTAAAGAGCTGAATAAACTCTTTCGTGATTTCTTCTCATGAGTTTGTCATCAAAGCTTCTTCATCGCTGTTTATTTTAAGAAGCTAACCAAGCGTGATTGGAATTTCATTTTTGTACATCTACGATAGGTTATACCATATTTGGTTTGGTCCCTTTTTTCTTAGACAGGCAATAAAAGCCATTATCTATTCTTCGACCTTTTTTTCACTTGTATGCAGAGTAAAAGGGTGCATCATTCGGAGTATTATCAGTTTTCTTTTTAAGCCTTATTATCAGTTTGTATCACTGGTTATGCTATCAGATTTGTCCTATGAAATTCAGAACCTTTTTTTTTTTCGGGGTGGAGGGGAGAATTTGTTGTACTTATGGTCTCTGGACATGTATTGTCCAAGACATAGAGTTGTAAATTGTAATTTTTAGATATTTGCTTGCCTGAATTTGGATTGTGGCTATCAGTTTCTTCTTTCCAGCAGGTTTTTAATCCATGCCCTGGCAATATTGTGGGATGAAAATTATCACCCTAATGCACAAACCTAATTTAGGTTTCGATGGTAAAATTTAGAAAATAAAAACGCAAGAAAGACGTCTAACTTAGGTGAGGAAAACAAAGAGAAAATGGACGATTTATTTTTTTATTGTCTTTTGTACGTATTTTCTGTATTAAGCTCTCCGCATTTAGAGACATTAGAATTGGTTCTTTAAAGGATCTTAAGTCCTTCACGCCATCCATTTCTTTCACTAATCCCAAATATCCCATCAACCCTTTCTCCTTCCACTTCTTTCTCATCAAACTAGCTCTAAGACCTTTTAGGTTTTTCTTTTCTTTTCTTTTTTCTTTTTTGGTTAGAGAGAAAGAAAGTATATAATCTAGGTAAAGAAAATGAAGAGAAAATAGAGATACTTTTCTCTTATTGCGTTCAGTATATATTTTTTCCCTTCGTCTCTTCGTATTGCAATATATTAAAATTAGGTTTTTAAAAGGATTGGTATTAGAATCCCACATTGACTAGAGATATTGACATGATCCACTTAATAAGCTGAGGACAATCCTTCCCTAACAAGCCGGTTTTGTTAGGTTGAGTTAGGCCTAATATCCTTTGATTTCTATAAAATGGTATCAGAGCAGTCCTAATTTTGCAATGTTGGGTCCCTCAATATCGACTTATTCGCAACGGTTTGGCATGGTCCACGCTGTGCGTGAGGGGGCGTATTAGAATCTCACATTGACTGGAGATATTGGCATGCTCCACTTAATAAGGTGAGAGCAATTCTCTCCTAATAAGCCGGTTTTGTTACGTTGAGTTATGTCCAGTATCTTTTAATTTTTGTAAAAATTGGGAATCTCCCTTAATCCATTCTCTCCTCTTCTCTCTTTTCACTAATCCCCCCACTTCTCTCCCTCCTTTCACTTTTCTCTCCTACCAAACAATCTCTTTTAATCCTTTCATCAAAAAAAAAAAAAAATCTTAATCCCTAAGACACAAAAGCAAGAACCTACTTCATAAGTTGCGTCAGCCACACAGAAAGGAAAAAAAAAATACAATAATCACGATAAAAATAATAAAGTAAGAAAAAAAAAAAGAAAAATAGTTGGGCCAGAATTCTAATGGAGGTAGTCCAGTTAGAGTAGTAAAGTTTGTAGGGCCAGAGGAAGCTCAAGTAGGTCTCAGCAGGAGCCCAGAGCCCAATTGTCCATCTGATATCTGATGCTAATGTTACATCAGTCATGTTGTTGTTCAAACTATTTGGACCGCTTTGGATTTGGAGCACAACAACAACAACAACAAACATGAATAATAATGAACACCCGGACTAGGAGAACAACCTAGTACTGTTCCACATAATCATGTTGTTTGCCTAGTTATTTGCTCAATATCTGCCCTTGTTTTTTGACCATTTGATTCTTTTTTTTCTTTTTACTATTAATTAAGGCCTTAATATTAATATTCCACAACATGTCCTTTACCTTTAGCGCCTTTCTCAATACAGTTCCTTTCCCATGTTTTCCTCATTCCTCTTTCCCGATTACCAAATGGGTGAAAGTTACTTGGATTTTTTTTTTCTCTTTTAAATCATACAATTCCACAACATATCTATATATATTTGGAGATTTTTACTATAGGTATTAAAAATATAAATTACCGGTAATTCTTTGCGTTTAACAGTCAATTTTATATCAAAAATTATGGGTGCGTTTAGAATTAATTTTAAAATAATTTTATTTTCAATAAAAAGTAAAAATAAGATTATTTTAAAAATTATTATGAGACCGATTCTAAAATTGCGTTTGGTTAGTTTTTTAAGAGATTATTTTGAGTATAATAAAAAAGTTAAATCGTGTTTATTAATTAATATATTATAATATTATTGATAAGTACTAAAAAATGAAAACAGAAAAGTAAAAATAACTTTCAATTGTTTTCTAATTGTTTCACAAAAATCATTCTTACTGTTTTCATTTTTAAAACATTTACTAAATAAACATCGTTTCGTTTTCATTTTCATTTTTTACTTCTCAAAATACGTGAAAATAATTTTAAAAATTGTTTTAAACACGCATTATATGTTGTGCATATTTTTTTTTCATTTTAAATTGATTTTAACCATATATAAAAATAAGAAACAAGAACTACTAACATGAGGTCCTACTACATAAGAGTCCTATATCTTTTCAACAATAGAATCCCTAGAGAGACAATGAGTACTTTAAACTTATAACATAATCACTATTATGGATGAAGTACTAAAACCTGTTTACTTGTCCTTTTCACAGCAAACTGGAATAGAAAAATTTTGAAAATGAACTAGAAGTTCAAGCCTAAATTAAATTCAAAATAATAATAATAATAAGACATTGTTCTTGTGGTCCTTCCTTCTTATATGAGTTCAGTCAACTTTGGAAGCATTTATTGTCAAGAGACAAACAAGCAAGCTTGAACTTATTAGTAACTATTTGTTCCCTTCAAAAATAAAAATAAAAATAACTGTGTGTATTTGTGTGGAAATTGACCGAAACCAAATTAAGCTGCATTTATGGAATTACGGGTCCACTCTACAAAACCCTAGATCTGTAGAAACAAAGCATGCAATATTAAACCACATGAAAGTAACCACTACTAGTACTACTGCTACCACACTGCAAAGTCTATATATACACACATATACACATATATACATACATACATACATATATTTATATTCATATTTATATATATGTATAACAATCAAATGATTTTCGTTATGATGGAATATATATGTGTCCAACTATTTACATAATGAAGTACGAGAGAGTACTCTAAAACATTCCAAGTAATTAATCTATGGTACTTTACTCAACTGCACGTACAATGTTAATATATATATGTGTATATAAACAAAGAAGATATATAGAAGCTTATTAGAAATTCAATTGTGCTAGTTATTTATATTTTTGTCTCCAAAGTACGAAAACAAGAAAGGAAATATATACTTAATAAAAGCTTGTGGCTAGGGTTTCCCATGTAGTTGCAAGTCTCTTTCTTGGACTTGGACAGCAAAGAAAAGAAACGATAATTGAGAAAAGGAAAGAATGAGGGAGTATCTCATGTAGTAGCGGTAGTACCTAGAGAGAGAAAGAGGAGGAGGAGGAGAGAGAGTGAGAGAGATACGGGAAATGATAGTATGATGTGTGTTGAGAGATATGGGGGAAGAAAATAAGAAGCAGAAGATGATTACCCGAAAGAAAAGGGTGCGTGGCACTGCGGCTATGCACACAAAAAGGGGACTCTATAGATATATTATGAGGTAAGCAACTCAGGATTTGTGGATAAGAGGAGGACATATATTAAACGCTTCAATGACAAATCAACTCCAAAAAAGTTGATATATATCAACGAAAACAATATCACTTACTGACTGGCTGGAATTTGGGCAAACGAACGAAAACCCACATATAATATATAATATACATGACTTCTTTTGTGGTGCATCCTAAAAGTGTGACCTACCGGTAGAATGAAGACTCATTTATTTTATTGATTTGAGTTTAAAATTTAAGTTTTGTTATAGTAAAATTTTTTTAAAAACAGTCATATCTAACTTTTTTATTATAGTAAAAAGCTCTCACATAAAGTCACATCTCAACTCGAATAACTGAACTAAACGGCCCTTAAGTATTTTTATCATTTGATCAATTTTTTTAACAGTCAGATCTATAACAATAATATTTTTATGTGGCGCGCTATAAATTTTTAATATAGACCTGCATAAGTAGTTTTGTATAACACGCTGTAAATTTTTAATACGAACTCATATAAATCTCACTACTTGTTCCACTGGTGAGTCATAAATAGAGGATGCATCCGTAAAATTTCTCAAAATATATATAATATAGATAAAGTCTTTGGATCAATTAGACACTTATAATATTTTCTATTTACTACTGTAACATCTTTCTTACAGTTATGTAACATTGAATTTGCTCAAGTATAACACTCAATATTATTAATTTGTATTAGACTATTTATTGTATGATATATTAAAACAAGTTGTTGAGTGTTATATGAACGTATGGTGAATAATGTTCAAATGAAAAACAAAAAAGTTATGGAGAGCGAGACATTTTCTTATGTACATATAATAACTTTCCATATTACATAGTATAATATATTATTACAATGTGCATGTACATTGATTTTATGGTGAGGAAAGAGAAAGAGTGAAAGACGGAGAGAGAAGATAGGGCTCAAAACCCGTGTAAATGTATGATAAGGAAAGGAAAATCTCATGATGATAGTGTCAAAATCAAACAAATTTACAATCTGAAAAAGTTGAATATGAGAGATAGGGAATAGAGAGAGAGAGAGAGCTGCATGTCAGAGTTGTAGAAAAAGGAATGAGACTGCTACTGGTTGAATTCAAGGAGATAAAGCAAAATTTTTCTATTCGCCTGCAAATTTAAAAGTTAATGGTGAAGTGAAGTGAGAAGGAAAAAATAAAGGAAAAAAAAAAGGAGAGATATTTACATGTAATATTTCTGAAAAACTTTGTTTGCAAATTTTTAAGATGTATATATATAATGTATTTTTAATTTATTGATTTGAGTTTTTAATTTGAATTAAGATGTGATTTTATGTAAAAAAATTTTACCGTAATAAAAAAATTAAATGTAACTATTTATAAGAACTTTTTATTATAATAAAACTTTAATTTTTAATTCAAATTAATGAAATGAACATGACTATATATCATGTATCAATCTCAATTGTTGAATATATAATGAAAAAAAGCATGAGCCGTGAATTTTAGATGAAGTCAAAGATTATGCTAATTTTCAATCTTAGTTGTTGAATATATGATAAAAATAAGGGAAATAGTAGAAAATAGGCCAATATGAAAAGCTTAAGAAAGTATATAGGCTAATTTTTAGTTATAGAAATTAATAGATCATAACTTGTCAAATTATGATTCATAACCAGATAAGTTATGGACAAACTTATCAAGTTATGGTTCATAACCAGAGAAGTTATGGACGAAAACAGTAATCTGACCTATTTATTAACTTATGTAAACTATTGGTCTATTAATTTTAATTCATATTAAGTCTTGGCCTATTTCTCTCTTTCTCTCTAAAAATAAATAAAATCGGATCCATTAAAATTTTCAGGGTAATTATAAACTAACTATTTTTAAATAAAATTTGTTATAATTGTTTCTTTCAAGTATTTAAGGGTTGGGATTTTAGCTAGGAGAAAAAAATATATATAGCTAAATTTTAATTTTCATGAACATTTTTTTTCAAAAAAATTTGGTTTGCCTTTCTTTCTCTTTCTCTCTCTAGTCTGAACTCTGATCCAGTGTGTGATTGTGACTGTGACACATGACTTTTTATACATAGTCTATATAGTAATGAACAAGAAAGACAATTGTTTTTGAACACAAATAAATTCCCATTACTGCTTCCTTCCCCATGATCTGTACTGCACTTTCCTACTTTGTAAGGCTTTCGAGCACATAAGACAACCAGAGATTCAGTGGGAGGAACGCCCGAAAACCAGACAAAAAGATTGCTTTAAGCTTTACATAAACTTTGTCTATAACTAGAAATTTTATATCATTCTTTTTGGGGGTTTTTTTTTTTGCTTATTTATTATTATTTTTTTTGGTCTTACTAGATGGTGAATATCTATAGTTAGGCATGATTTTGTTGACTTGTTAGTTGTTACATGTATACATAACTTTTCTTTTTCATGTTACCCTATAAAAAAAACATTTTTCTCATGCTATGCATGTACAATTCTTGTTTTATATGTATTACATTAGATTAGATATGGTTAAGAGAATTCTTTGGTAGCTTTTTTCCTGACAGATAGGAATAATACTTTAAACCATGAGAAAAACTTTATTAAAAACTTGATCTATTATATATATATATATATATATATATTGTAAATTGGAATAATTTTTATGTGATTTGACAGTTTAAAAACAACGTCTTATTTAGGGTTTGTTTTTTTACCGTTTTTGAGTTAGGTGATTTGAGTGTAGATTTTGAGTTGAATTTGAGTTATAACTTAAGTTGAAGTTGTAATTTGAGTTTGTGTTTGGTTGTGTACATTTGAGTTATGGTTTGAGATAAGAATCTTTTTGAGTTTGTGTTTAAGTGAGTCAAAACTTGAATTTGTATTTAGATAGTATTTTAATAAAATCTCAATGCTGATGAAAAATTTTAATAGGATATATGGGTGGAGTTTTATTTGTCTTTTCGTTGCCAACGCATAAAGAAAAAAATCATCTCAATCAAAATTAAAACGAAAAAGTTATAGCATTTTTAATAATAGAAAAAATATTGTTCATTAATTTGAGTTCGAGTTTCAGAACTCGAGTTGAAGAGAAAACTTGAACTCGAGTTTTAGTCCCAAACTCGAGTTCAAACTTAAAAGAACATGAACTTAAATAAAATTGTAACTCGAGTTGTTTTTTTGAGTTTTTGACTCAATAACTCACTGCCCCAACAGCCCCTTAATTACTGGTATGTTGATTTTTTTTTCCTCATACCTTGCAGTAGAATTCTTCAAGAAAAGTGTTATAGTTTGTATGAAGAATTCTACTCGGATAATCTTGTAAATGGGCGTGATATAATAAATAGCTTACGTATGTCAAATGTTCCTAAGGCCGTCGTTAATCTCTTGATTAGTTATACTTCTTTAATTTGATTATTCAAATTATGTCTTACCCGTAAGGTATTTTTTAATTCGTACCAGTACTATTGGAAATTATAGATTAGAAGGCAAGATGAAAAAACTAATTAGTCTAATGTATAGTTAAAAGAAAAAAGTGAAATGGCCATTTCCGTGTTACATAAATTTGAGATTGCACATTAGACGGCCATTTTTGGAAACCATTTTAAAACTATATGAGACAAGATATTGAAAAAATACTCCACAGTGGAACCAAATATGAAATGTGAATCACATGAAAATCAGCTTTAAAAAATATATGATTATGTAAAGAAACTTGATCAAAATTCCATAGCTACAACAGAATTCTTATATATCATGTTTACCTATATATTTTTTGAGAGAAAGAGAGAAATAGGTAAAGACTTAAGATGAATTAAAATTAATAGGTTAATAGTTTACATAAGTTAATAAATAGACCAAATTACTGTTTTCATCCATAACTTGTCTGGTTATAAACCATAACTTGATAAGTTATTCACGGTTTTTATTTATAACTTGTCTGACTATGAATCATAACTTGACAAGTTTGTCAATAACTTATCTGGTTATAAACCATAACTTGACAAGTTATGACCTATTAATTTTTATAATTAAAAATTGACATATATACTTTCTTAAACTTTTTATATTAACTTATTTTCTACTATTTTTGTATTTTTTTCCTTTTAATTAGCATTTTCCAATTCTTTAGACAAAATCAGAAGTACTTGAGTGGGTGTTGATGATGAAATAGGGAGGAGTTATGATATTCAAATGGGTAATATATGTAGCTATAGTGAGTTGGGAAATGGAATTAATTGGGTGTACAGATTTAAAGCATCTGTAGAAAAGATAGGAGGAATGGGAAAAGAATGATGAAACTTTCCAGTTTCCATGATCATGATGCCATATTATCATTTGTATATGAAACATAAAAATCCCCAGAAACCCATCAAACCCCTTCCTTTTCCTCATTTAATGCTTTGCCATTAATGCTTGGGTCGCGTGCTCGGTTGCATGAAAGACTACACACATCATCCTTCATAATTTGGTCATGTACTTCTATATCATTTCCCAACTTTTCCTTTGTCTTTTTTCCCCCGTTTCAAAGTGGTATATATATATATATATATATATATTCTTTTTGGCAGAAAGGGAAAGAATAATAATTAAAATGATCAGAATATTCTGTGAGATTTATAAGGATCAAGCCTAAATGAGAATTTATGTCATGATTTAAATTATGATTTGTGATTCATTATAATATTTTTCTTTACAAAAAATATACGTAAAACGAGAATAATTCTGAATTCATGAACCAAACGTCTCCTAATTTATATCAAGACTATAGATTTTTTTGTGTGATATTTTGGCCCCGTTCATTTCGCCGATTCGAGTTTAGAATTCGAGTTTTGCTACAGTAAAAAGCTCTCAGAAACAGTCACATCTAACTTTTTTGCTACAGTAAAAAGCTCTCACACAAAATCACATCTCAACTCGAATTATAAACTCGAATCAACGAAGTGAACGGAAATATTCTTTAGCATTATAGCTAGCTATTTGTGGAATAATGTAAGTTCTCTTTATGATCAATTCCCGGGGTTCTAATTTTTAGATATTATAAGAACTAAGAAGCTCAATATGGGATTGTAGTGATCAACAAAACTTCCACATAATTAAGAAGAACCACTAGATTGAAACATGGATGGTCATAATTTTTTAGACAGACCAAATCAAAGAGCATTAGCTTTGGATAGACAGAAAATATTAATTCTAATCTAAGATAAGATATTATCAATCTCATGGGATTATAGTGATCAAGGAAACTTTTTATAATTAAGGAAGAACCAAAATAGGAACATGATTAATGGTCATCTTTTAGACAGACCAAATCAAAGAGCATTGGCTTTGGATAGGCAGAAAAGATTAAGAATGTTTTGGTGTTTTAGCTATTGGCCTTTAAATGGCAATGCAATTAAAAGTTACCGCTCATCATCAGCTAACTAGCTTGAATCCATCATAAATGGACCAGAATTGAGGTTGGTCTTGCAAATTTATAAGTTGCTAATTATGTATATATGTATTACAACTCACTAGCTCAGCTATATATTTTTGTTATCATATCCCCTAGAGTACTATATACTGGTCCTTACTTTCACTTCATGTTTAAATGTTTAAGGGCATGTTTTTTTGTTTAAAAAACTCAAAAAAAATAACTCAAATTTTAACTTTATTTAAGTTTACGTTCTTTTAAGTTTCAACTTTATTCAACTTTACTCAATTTTATTCAAATTATAATTCAAATTCAACTCAAAAATTACACTCAAATTACACTTCAAAAGAACAACCCCCGACTCATTTGTTATTTTTGCACTGATGAATTTCCTAGACAGGATATGATTTTAATTGTGTTGAGGGTATAACAGAACCAAAAAAAATAGAAACCCTATTGGCAAAAAAAAAAAGATAAAAGGACGTTTGGAACCCTATATTCAAGGTACGGTACACTAGTTGAGAAGTGATTGACAGTTTTGCCCCTGAGAGCCCTAGCTCTCAAGTCTCAAGTACAATATCTCTTTGTAGTATATAGGACCTGGTAAAAAGGCCAAAAAAAAAAAAAAAAAAAAAGCATATCTCCATTAAAAGAAGAACCCTCCTCAGAGAAACTCCTAAAATCACTTCCCCCACCCCCCCAAACCCAACGCATCATTTTATTGCCATTCATTCATTCATTCACAAATTCGCCTTTCTTTCTTTCTTTCTTTCTTTCTTTCTTTCCATGCAACATTTCACTTCAATATTATCCCCCTCTTTCTAGATCTCTCTCCAAGTGCAATAAATAATTTTTTTGATTTTCTTAGATGCCTTTTCATCCAAGTAAATTCCACTGATACCCTACACCTTTCTAAGCCCTATTTTGTCCCTTCCCTTTTTATGAACTTTTCCTTCCTCTCTATCAACTTCACTCCCATGTGCCTTCCTCTCTCTTTATAATCCCCCCATCTTGTTATAAGTTATTCAACAACACCCCATATTCTCCATACTCTCTCTCTCTCTCTCTCTCTCTCTCTCTCTCTCTCTCTCTCTCTCTAGCTCTTTGAGCAGCTTCTGTTGTTCTTTTATAAGCTTTTGTAATCTCCTTGTTTATCCACCAATATATCGTAATAGCTTGTAATCATGGACCCGAATCACGATCAGCAAAACCAACTACCATCGAATGATCATCATCATCAGCAGGAGACGTCTACAAAAGGATCATCGGGCGGCGGCGGCGGCGGAAGCGGGTTTTTGTGCCGGCAAAGCAGCACAAGATGGACGCCAACAAGTGACCAGATAAGGATACTGAAGGAGCTTTACTACAACAACGGAGTAAGGTCACCGAGCGCAGAGCAGATTCAGAGGATCTCTGCGCGGCTGAGGCAGTACGGCAAGATTGAAGGCAAGAATGTGTTTTATTGGTTTCAGAACCATAAAGCTCGTGAGAGGCAAAAGAAAAGGTTCACTTCTGACAATATCAATATGCAAAGATCGCCAGCGGCCGGGGCTGCTGCAGCCCTAATTCCAAATGGTATTACTCCTACTATTACTACTTCTTCTAATAACCATAATAATATTATTACTACTACTGCTTGAAAAACTCCTCATGAACATGATCAAGATCACCCCCATAATACATTATATATATATTTATATATATATATATTTTTTTGTTTTGTTTTAATGAAATCTTATTTCTAATTACATGACCCTGATTTTGTTCAAGTCAGCAAAGTTGTTTTCTTGATCATCTTACCAAAATTATATATGTATTCTAGTGTTAAGCTGGGTCTAATTGTTACGTATAATGATTATTAGGGATTTTAAAAAAAATAATAATAATAATAATAATAAGGGAAAAAAATGAAAGCCCACTGTATATATTCTTTTTGTTCAAACAAATCTTTGCTTCTAACTTGACCCTGATTTAATTTGTTCAAGAGTCAGCAAAGTTTTAAATCTCAACATGTGTATTGAGCATATAAAGGTGTTGTTACTTAGGGTTAGGGCTTTTGAAAAATTAAAAATGAAAAATAAAAAAAATGGGTTGTCATAATTTTGCAGTTGTTTCGTCTGGATCATCTTCGGCAAGTATGCTTGGTGTAAATGGACAGATGGGACACTACGGATATGGAGCTGTGACCATGGAGAAGACATTTAGGGTAAGTATTGATGACTAAGGAAAAAGGGCTTGTGCCTTTGGTGCCAAGCAAAAGATCCATGATCCAGCTGATATAATTATGTACAAATTGTTATATATATATATATATATATACATACATACATAAATACATAAATATATATGTATCTTATTTAACTTTTTAATTACTTTTCCCTTTTAAAAAACTATATTTTTTGCTACCCGTTTAATTATAGACAGATTATAAATGGAAACAAAGTGACGAATGGAAAGATGCATACGTACTTGCACCCATATGTGATTAGGGCATGCAATTTTGTTTCTAGCTACTAATACAACGACAAACAAACAACAACCCGAAAGGTATAAATCTGGTTTAGCAAAAAAAGAGGAGAGACAAATTAACTAAACACAATTATTCTCTTCTTGTTCAATATAATCGATCCCCATTTAAAATTAATATTCTGAAAAGGATAACAATGTTGTTTTTTGTTCTATATTTCCTTTTATTTTTTCATGGCGAAAGAATTTTTCCCATATGCCTTAAAAATAGTAAAAAGAAAAAAGGAGTTGATCTAAAATATTTTTTTTTAATATACTCTAACAATGCACTAATCAATTTTCCCTTCAAAAGAATAAAAGAGAAGGCCTAATTAAAAAGAGTAAAAGAAAGAGTTCTAATCTAAGCTTTTTTTTTTTTTTTTGTTATTTTGTCTTCTGATATATACTTAATACCTTACCCTTGTTTCTTTTTTACACCCAAAAAAAAAAAACCCTTGTTTAATGCACCTCTCTCTCTCTCTCTCTCTTGATAAAAATTTCTTTGAAGCTGCAGGACTGTGGAAGCAGTGAATCCATAAGCCACGGCTTCGGGTGGGTAGGAGTGGACCCGTATAATTCTTCACCATATGCTCTCTTTGAGAAGAGATCATCAAATATCCCACTTGACCCTTATGATCAAGAATATCATTATCAACAACAAGAAGATGATGATGATGATGATCATGGTCATCATGAAACTTTTGGGAACATTGAAACCCTCCCTCTTTTCCCCATGCACAGCGAGGAGGACATGATGATGATCAACGGCTACAACAACATGATCAAGTCCAACTTCTCTGACCCCACCGCCACCGCGGGAGGCGGGTACTACTCCGGCAGCCACGTCAGCTCTCGTACTTCCCTTGAGCTCACTCTCAACTCCTACAGGTCTCCGGATTCGCTTTAAAATATTTAGCTTTCTAATCCTTTAATCATGTCTTAATGTCAGTGTTAATTAATTACTTATTTAATCCCATGTATGAAACATGGTGGACTAATGTACTTCAATTAGCTACTAATTAATGATGGGTACTAATTATCTAGTTATGTTATTGTTATGCTTGTTAGCTATGGTATTATATGATTATCGTGCTCATTTATGTATATAATTTGCCACTTGTTTTTGGAGCTCAAACGTAATGTGTTTTCGACACGTGTCCTACTAGGGACTTAATTGGCTAATTTTAAGAGAATTTGAGGGATTAGTTGCCCTAGTCCCGAGAATATTCCATGATTATGTGCTCCAATGCAATTGATTAACTTATATTGCTCCTAAATTTTGACAGAAATGTTTTGTGGGGTCCATTGTGTGACTTAGAGAGAGAGAGAGAGAGAGAGAGAGAGAGAGAGAGAGAGAGAGAGAGAGAGAGAGAGAGAGAGAGAGAGAGAGAGAGAGAGAGAGAGAGAGAGAGAGACATACTAAGGTTCCTTGTGTACATGGTCGAAAAGATTTGCCAATGATATCGAATGGGCATAAAGAAAAACAAAATAATACAGAGAGACTACTGTTGGGGGCCAAAAATGATGAAAGTGAGAACGTAATAATATGCAGCCGTTTTTGTAAAGTAGCTGGAGAGAGAAACAGAGAGAGAGAGAGAGAGAGAGAGAGGGTATATATTTTGAAGTTTGAACCCACTTCGTAAATACCGCAAAAATTATTCCTCCTTTAATTTAATTTAATTTAATTTTATTATTTTTTTTATATTTTCCTTTTGGGGTGTTTCTGGAGAATAACTGTAGGGGGGTCCGTCTAGAGAGTAAAAATGTGGACAATAAACTTCACTGGGCTTTTCAACTATCATGATGCAGCACTTTTTGACCCATAATAATAACCATAGAGAGGAGAAGAGACTGAAAGTAGGCTTTTTTATGGTTAAAAAACACAATTACCATGATTTTTTTTAACTATGAATTTTGTATAATAATTTACGAGTCATAAAACGATAGTAAATTATGTATCTACCCAATTGGCACTTTTTAGTGTGAATCTTGCAAATGATCTCATAAAGCTCACTTGAGTCCAAACTCAATTACTCACCAAAATTGAATAATCAAAGTTGGTACTTTTTAGTACTTGATTTTCTTCCAAAGTTCTATCTACTTATTTCTTCCTCTGTTCTGACCAGAATGTAAAACGCCAAAGCATACATAAGAACAATGGTCATTCAATTGTCCTTCAAAAGCTTCTATATGATGAATCAAAAAGAAAATCTATTCACCATATCACCACATAAATACAACACCCTTTTGCATGAGAGAGAGGAGAGAGAGGAACAATTGATCTAACAATTAAGCTTGAAGCACATGGCAGTTTTATCACACATCAGACAGAATTGTATAATTGGTTTAGGATGTTTTGCAAGTACATTTGGCGGTGATAGATAAAAAGTGGGTACATATCAAATGTGATGAAAGAAGCGCAAAGACAAACCAAATTACTTGATTGTTTTTTTCCTTGTGTCCACTAGCACCTCTTCTGCACATAACTTGCAATTACGAAGGTCCCCATCAACAAGATTTTTGGGCAGATACTTTCCTTTCTTTGGTTTGACAATTTTTATTTTTTTTTTTTTTTTTTTTTTTTTTTTTTTTTTTTTTGCTTGGGATTGACCCTAATATCTTTTCGGGACCTACATACCCTTTAAATGAGAAGGAAAGAAAGAGAGAATGGCTTCAAAAGAGGAAAATATAGACAATGCTTCTATTCACGGTTGATGGATTTTTATGCTAGAGAGATTTAGTTGGGGAATTCAGGAAGATCTCTCAAAGCTTTTTGAAGCCTTCAAGTACGCAATGTCCCTTACCAGAAACATGAGGCCATTTTTTAAGACTATTTTCATGAAACAGTTTCTCAAAATCCTCTACCAAAGTTTGGTTTGCTTTGCCAATTTGCCATTTTGATTTAGTGTGTAAATTCAGAGCACAGAGTTTGTCACGCAAGTACCACATCATTTCCATAAGTGCAAAGACATATCTCAACATGCAAACAGTTTCAAATGTTTCTTTTTCGTCTACATACATCTAAGCCTTGGGTCACCGGGTGCTTCCATATGAAATTATGGAGGCTTTTGGACATAGAAACTAGGCTTATTCCACATTACAAATTTAGAAAGGAAGAGTACAGACGATTACCTTTTTTCATGTACATTCAAGTTTATATATCCATGCAAACTAGAATCAATTTAACAGAAAAAGATATAGGAAGAGGCCGGAAGGCAAGAACTTTCTTCAGTACTAACCTCGGGTAGTTGGCATAAAGTCTTCCGGAGTCGACTTCTTTCGTACAATATGTCGCAAATCTTGCGCTTGCTGTAGTTTCATGAACTATGGCACCCCAAAAGGCCTGGTATCTTAGCTAGGTTGGAATAAATATTATACCCTTTGGTGAGCATTTGGAAATCTACAACCAAGTAGAAGATAGTGAATGTTACCTAAAAATATATGAAAATCCATAAAAGACATAGCATATATATAACACCACATCGTAATCTCTGTGTTAACGATATGGGGAAAATTAGCGACAAAATCAATAACATGTTGAGAAAAAAAAAAAAAACACTTTGGAATTTACATCATAAGCCTTAGATCATTCTTCAAAACTGTTTCATGGTGAGAAAAGTAACTTTATGGTACAATAGATAACTGCTTTTATCTGGCGCAAAAAATGTCTCCGAAGAGCGATGAACTTTAGAGATCCAAGCAAGGAAACCAAGTAGAGTTTGGCAGTGATCTCAACTGGCACCACTATTTGACAGTAAAGTTCTCTTTTTGATTGCTTTGTGCTTGAAATCTGGCGAGAGGTCATGAAAGAATGTCTACTTTCTTCCAACATAAGCTCCGAGTTTGGACAAATCTGGAATCCAAAATGATAGTTCGGACGACCCGGTCACAAACATAACACTTCCAGGAGCCCATTTAATGACAGGAGGCTCATTTTCAGTACTCATCCAACTCGCTACCTGGACACAAGTCCAGAAAGGTAAGCATGTATCCGCACAAACTTGGAACAGATAAAACACTCACGAGTGAAGCATACATTATATACATATATGTCTCTGTGTGTGTGTGTGTGTGTGTATCGAAGTAGTTAATCATGCTGTCTAGAAAGTCTGACGTTGAAGTTGAATGAACAAAGCTAATTCTTGCTAATAGGCTCTAGGATTAGAACCACAGACGGCATTTCAATAATGTTTTTTACCCAGATGGTTGATAATGCTGAAAAGTATAACCACAGTGAATCTTCAGTAGGGTAACTATGTATTCCAGATAAATGGACCAGTTTATGAGAACTGGTGAACAAAAGAACGAGAAAAGAGGGAAAAAAAAGTGTAAAAGAGGCAAGAGTATCATCAATAAAGAAGGTTATCGAACCTCTTTCCCACTGCGGACACTCCAAGCATAGACACTGCCATCACCAGAACCTGCCAGAAGGGCAGAAACCAAGCTAAGTTATTTATCTACTACATCATGTGAAAAAGAACAACAGAGAAAAAAAAAATACAAGTCCTGTTATTAGCTGAAAATTAACCATAAATGAAATAAGTGACCGGCTACCTGAGATCACAAACATTCCTTCAGGACTGAAAGAAGCCTCCAATGTGGAATTCTCTGAAACTGGCTTTACATTGTACGTCGATAACTAAAAGGCAATTACAAAGAAATAAGCTTTACGATCATTATCTACTAAATTGAAGTGAATTTTCCACTTGACATTGATTAGGAAGTAAAACAACTTACAAGTGTGCCACGAAAGGAATCAAGCACATGAATATGACCATCTTTAGTAGTTAGAAGCATAAGTCTTCCATCATTGCTGAACTTCACAACATTTGCATCGGAAACATCTCCTCCAACAGAAAAGATATCAAAAGGACCCTAAAGAAAATTGGTAGTCATCGTTTTAGTCTCAATTCATTTGAATCCCAAAACATTATTTCAAATTTCCCACGTTTTTTTAAACGCACAAATGACCGACCTTTTCGTATTTGCGAGCATCAAACATTCGAATGTATCCACCAAAGGCAATTGCAAACACTAGCCCTTGGTCATCGTATGCAGTAGCAGGCCTTCCTTGTGCACGTAAAAGGCCCTATACAGAAAGACAAAGGATCAAAACTCAGATTACAATAAACATAGCCTGAAAAGAGCATCCATACTCTTACATCCCCACCTGGCACTTCTCGGCCCGTTGATCCCAAAGCAAAACAGTTCGATCAAGAGAACCGGAGATGAAGCACTCCTTGCGAGCGCACAAACTAAGGGAGACAACCCTGAAAAACAAAATAAAAAATAAAAAAATAAAGCAGACCCCACTTCTTCTACATATGTTTCTGTACAAAATTCACTTCATTGAAATGCTATGTCAATACTTTTGAGAAACTATACCTGTCATGGTGGCCTTTAAAATACCGCAAGTACTTGTTGTCATGCAAAGAAAGAAGCCGCAAGGATTCTGAATGCAGCAATAATGTTAAAATCTAAAATCTAATTATGTAATTCACACTGAATTATGATTTATATCCAGATAAACAATAGTTACATACCATCCCAACCGTTTTTGGAAGAGTATATGACTGTTGTGGGGTGAGAAGTAAAGGAAACAAGATCTACCCCGTACTTTTTGCTGTTGATTGTCTTCAAGCAACTGACAAACAGTAGAAAATTTATCTCATAATCCGTTAAACACCAAGCGAAATTACTGGGATGAAATCAGAGTAGGATTGGAACTATTTTTTTAAGTAGAGTAGGATTGAAACAACATGGGCATGCCGTTGACTTAACCTAACAGTAATTCCACACCCACCTCAAAACGTCAAATGATGAAATGTAGAATTCAAATCCACCCCCAACCCAAACAAAGGACCCAAAAATTAAGAGAGAAAAATATATTTTAAAAAAAAAAGCCAACGGTATATTGATCTGTCTTCAAGCAACTGACAAACAATAGGAAATGTATATCATATTCATTCAATGCCAAATGAATTAAAATTCATAGAGATGAAGAGTGGGACTAAAACTCCAAGGACCTGTAGTTGCAAACTTTAACAGTAATTTCATTAACCTACCTCAAATGTGGAATCTAGAGTTTATCTCAAAAAAAAAAAAAAAAAAAAAAAAAAAAAAAAGCAAGGGGTGTATTAAACTGTCTTTAAGCAACTAACAGAAAATAAAAAGCACGTTTCATTATTTATGCAATGTCCAAATGAAATAAGAACAACAATCTAAGGGTTCATGAAATTAAGTTTCATATGTAATTCATGCAAAAAAAAAAAAAAAAGAGAAAGAAAAGAAAAGAAAAACACACACACACACTTACGTTGCACTGGCAACATCGTACAGGCGTATGGACTCATCATCACTTGCAGTAACCAGATAATTCGATGTCTTGTGAAAGTCAATTGAACTGATTCTACCATTCTGGGATTAAATAGTTATAAAAAATGAATAAAGGGGGTTCAATTTAAATTAACTAAAATACAAAACCATGAACTAAAACTAAATTGAGCACTAAATTTTCTATAATCCAGAATTACAGAGCTAAAAAACACCGATAAATTAAAATAAGCGATCCCAAACAAATTAAAAATGATAATTAAAAAAAAAAGAAAAAGAAAAAAGAGTACGTAGTCTTTGAAAGCCATGCCAACTTCCATGCTCTGAAGAATTTCCTCAGTGAGCTCCAAGGAGACCTTATCTTCTCTTTCAGATTGTCCTCCTTCGAACATTTTTTTTTTTTCAGAATCAAAACCAAAAAAAAGGGAAAAATTAAAATAAATGAAAGAAAACCTAAGTCCCAAACAAAATTTTCGTCCAAAATTGATATTTTTTTCTTACCAGCCATCATCGGTATATTCTCTATATGATTTTCTGGAGATTGAAATTTTCAGTGAAGTTTTCTGGGCAAACTCCTCATTCTTGAATTGCCGCGGAAGGGGGAAAAACACAATTTTTTTTTTTTTTTGAGAGTTTTGTCTTGTATTTTTTTTTATATAAAATTGCAATAAGGGAACTATATTTTACCTGAATAATAACCCTATCGTGAAATTAATTTCGCAACGGCAGCCAAATTAAACTTCAGTTAAATTTCAAACGACAATAACAAGAAAGCAACAACAAAAGGGGAAACGACAATAGCAGGAACCATAGTTGAAAACGATACTAAAAAGGAGAAAACGATTAAGAAGGCCAAAAAGAAAAAACAATAATAAAATAGGAAGAATTTTGTAAAGTGACAATAAACTAAAGAAAGACATTTCTTTCCATTAAAAAAAAAAAACTAAAGAAAGACATTGAAATAGAAAACGACAAGAAAAAGAAATAATGCAATAATAAAAAGGAAAAAGTGGACAACAGAAAGAAACCAAAACCAGAACAGTAGGAGCAACAATTGAACATGATACCCAAAAAAAAAAGTAAAAAACTTTAACAGAGTAATAAACGACAATGAAATATAGATATTCAGTACAATGAAGACAACAATGAAAAAAATACGACTAAAAGAAACAACAATGGAATAGTACAATGAAGACAACAATGAAAAAAATACGACTAAAAGAAACAACAATGGAATGGGACATTTGAAAAATAAACGATGAAACAAGGGGTCAAAAAGAAGATAAGAACAAGAAACGACAAACAAAGAGAAAACGAAATCAAAAAACGATAGAATGGAAACGACAATAAATAAAACGACAATAGAAGCAAAATTTTTTCTTTTTTATTTTACGACAATAAAACTAAAAACGACAATATGAAGATAGTCAACCAACGCATCGCACAAAAACACAAGCGCAATACTGGTTCAATCAAACGACCCGACATTCAGGTTCTGCAGAAACAGAAAACTGAAAAAACCAGAGAACTAAACGAAACTTTCTTCTTCCCAAACTGTGTATTGCTTCTTTTCTAAAATCTGTCCACTACTAAATAGATAAAGAAAAAAGAAGAAAAATATGTACACACACACAAAAAAAAAAAAAAAAAAAAAAAAAAAAACTACAACAAATCTGAATAATATTTACTGTAAACTTCATACATATATCAATTTACAATCTATATTTCAAGAAAAGAAAATTTCTTGTTGAAAAGAGATATCAAAGAGCCAAAAAGAGACTAAAAGTTGGCTACTTATAAACGTTGTGATGAAAATAACAAACCATGCTAACAAAATTCACAACTTGAGAACTGCATGTCACATAATTATGGGTACATGTATAACACCCTGATCAGCAGCAGAATTCACCGAGCTTCTAGCGCTCGAAACCCGGCTTTCGTCTGGCCCCGCCTTCTTCTTGATGAACTCGATGCATTCGGCGACGGCCTCACTGTGGCGGTGGTCGTTGCTCGGGTGATAATGTCGCCGGACGTCGCCGGATCCGGGGTGGTTCGCGGACTTAGAGAGGGCGGAGAACATGATCAAGCGGAAAACAGCCTCGCGGAAGCGCTCCAACAAGGTCATTGGGGTTATGCCTTTGGTCTTGGTTGTGGAGGAGTTGTTTCTTAGCCTTGGAATGCAAAAGTTGGTCTTCATGACTCTTTTGGGGCTTCCTCCTCTTGGTTTCTCCATGAACTCTCTTTTGGTCTTTTGGACCATGGAGACTCGTACCCCCATTAATTTATATGAGAATATGTTGGTTGAGACAAATATAAGGTAATTAAATTCATCAATAGTGTACAAAAATAATATTCAGACTACACAGTTTTTAACCGACATATCATATTAGAGACGAAAGCGTATACAAATTTAACGAAATTTAATGAAAATTTGACGATCCATGACTATATATGGTACTGGTGGACTTTTTATTGTATACTTTATGGAAGAATTTTTGTAAAATTTATATGGTTTGGAGGAATGGAGATGGAAAATTTAAAAAAAAAAAAAAAAAAAAAAAAAAAGAAAGGAAGCTTGGCTAGTGGCTCATGAGCTTGCTAGCTATCTATATAGTTTAACATGGCATAGGGTACAATTAAGCAATATAGGTTTTTAAGAATTTAAGAATCTATTATATAGAAGACAAAATGACGCCTAATGACAACTCAGTTTTGTCAAAGGGAACAACCTTAAGGGATTAGTATTCCCATTAATCCCCATTAAAATCAACCTGACATAAGTTTGACTTGTTTTGGAGTACTCTTAAGGGATTAGCTGTAATCAAATTAAGCTACGTTTTGTTTGGCATAATAATTATAGCAATGTATAATCAATATATACGACATTCACGAGACAAATAGGTTTTAGCTAAGCTTAGCTAATGTCTCGTGTTTTATATTGTACTTATTATTTTCAGTTAACTAGTTCACAAGAAAATAAGCTTTTTATGGTAAGTGTTTTTACCGGTAGTAGTGCATGTTTTCAGCTGTTAAATATAATTAAAATCACATCAAAATAAAAAAATAAAATTTATGTAATTGAAAAAACTTGATATATCGGGTGATTTAAAACAAAATCTTATGTATTACTCATATAGTAAATATGAAGGTAACTATTTTTTATAAGGCAAGCCAGTGGCTTATTGATCATTATTGTTGAAGCACTAGACGAGCCACACACATATAATATAATATATATATATATATGGAGTAATATTGATATTGAAGGATTTTGTCTTACTTGTTAAGGCTTCACATGGCTGCATGTGAAGCTTTTGTACTAAAATATTGAATAAAATGCACTCTAGGCATCAATAGTTTGTATTCGTTTCAAATCACGTCTTTTCTTTCCATTCAATTCCGCCGACTTACCGGCCAAAATCAAAGAAAAATCTCATAATTTATTTACTAGCATGACCCCAAACGCTTGTCTTCCACAAATTCTTTTGACAAGGGAAACATAAACAAATGGGGTACGTTAGAGATGGAGCAAATTAACTACGAAACGTGGGGTTGAAACTTTCCTCCATGCCTAGAATTTGATCTCTTGTCGGTCTGCTCTCTTAGCTTCATACACATATGTATAAGGATTTATTTTTATTTTTTATTTTTATTATTTTTTTTTTCCTTTGAGTTAGCTACATCAACCAACAATAGCTTCATATGCGTCACATAATTTGAACCATATCAACTTCACACGACTGTAAAAAAATATTTTTATAAGATAATACGGGATCGAACTCAAATCTTTTTGAATTCAAACTCCATTGTATTTTTATATTATGTCACTTAATATAGTGATCATTGATAATATATGCTGGCGCTATATGCTTATGGATTGTTAAATCACATCAGAACTTAAAAAAAAATGCGAATTTAATAAAATTAATGAAAAATTATCCTATCCTTGAATATTGCCCAATTATTTCCCATACATTCTCTTTTCTGAGTCCCGCATACAAGATCATGACTTTACATTTCAATTGTACAATTTCTCACAACCTCATTTCATTTTGGGCCCGAGAGAGAGAGAGAAGTGAATGACACAACCATTTAGGGCCCGAGAGAGAGAGAGAGAGAGAAGTGAATGACACAACCATTTAGGGCCCGAGAGAGAGAGAGAGAGAGAAGTGAATGACACAAAAATGTGCTCCTGCACATTTTATTTCACCGCATGAAACATGCTTTTTCATGTGCTTGCAAAAATTTCAAAAACATGGCAAACATAAGAGAAATGATAAACTAGCTCAAGTCTTTTTGATTAAATTTAAAAAAATCAGCATATGGCCTCAAGTGTTGGAGACTCACTTCCTTGGATTCCCTTCTTTTTGGAAAACAGCCATCCTAGTATAGGCCCCAACGGCTTCCTCTTCGGCTTCTTGAGAGAAGGAGACTTATCCGAAAATTGATCATGATCCTTCCTAACCATGACTCTAGCAAGTGAAGGAGGGCTTGCAAATTTCACACTTCTCCTCCTTTGGTATCCATGTTCCTCCTCATCTTGCGTACTTCGGGTTTCGAGTCGGTTCGGGTTCTCGATGAACTTGAGGTCCTCAATGTCAGGATCAACTGGCTGCTTTTGGTATTCTCTAGCCTTTAGCTTTTGTAGCTCCCTCTTTGCTTGCTCCAGCTCTTCTCTAAGGGAGTTTATGCAACATGCCATTAAGTTGCTTTCTTCTCTAGCTTTCTCAAGACTTTGCTTTGTTTCCTCAAGCTCGGCTTTCAATGCTCCAATTCTTGATGGAGCCGGTCCATTCTCACTCTCTCCGCCAGCTGGAATCTAATCGAAAAATATATATTAAAAAAAAAGAAAAAAAATTGTAACTTTAATTCGCTGATTCGAATTTTTAATTCGAGTTTATATGTAATTTTATGTAAGAACTTTTTACTGTAATAAAAAAGTTAAATGTGACTGTTTCTGAAAACTTTTTACTGGAGTAAAACTCGAATTCTAAACTCGAATCGGTAAAATAAACGGGGCCTCAAATAGTATTCACTTTGCTAATTCAGTTGAAACTTTTCTCATGCAAAATTGTACAATTTACATGCACAACACACAAATCAATGTTTTTCTTTTCCCTTGTTCTATGTGAAATGACAAATACATTTTCTATATTTTATTTACAAGGTGTAAGAGGCTCTTTTTTTTTTTCTGGAATTAAACCAACTTATAGGACAGTAGACCACGAACCATTTGAAACCCAACCAAGAAATGCATTGGTCAAGCTAAAAATAACACCATGAAGAAAGAAAATTTCATTCATCGGGAGCTTGATTGTAGGTCAAAATGGCCAACAAAATCATTTGAACTTCAAAACACAAACAAAAGAAAAGTAGTGGAGAAAAGAGAGACCTCTTTGAGCTTGTGGGCGTAGATCTCTCCAACCAAAACTCTCTCCCCAAAAAGAGCAACTGCTTCTTTCACCGACTTGAAAGGCGCTCTAGTGTCGATCTCCGCTCGCCCCACGGCCGCCGCATGATCTTCTCCTTCCATTTTTTTTTTTTTATGCGAGAAAGTGCTGATTTCGTCGGACACTTTCAAAAGATCTTAATCAAGACAGCAGGGAATGAATGGAGGTGGTGACAAATATCTCCTTTTAATACACAACAATAAAGCAAATTTTTTTTTTTTTTTTTGTCTTAAAATGTTGTTAACAAAATCATGGTTTAATGGGGACTCTTATTTACTTCGCGTCCACTTCACTGGAATTTTGTTAATTGAAAGGTGACAAGGGTGGTTGGACCATCTTGATCAAGTTTCTTTATGTTAGTTATATGTGAAAACCACCTCATTTCCCTTTGATTAGGACCTCCATCATTTTCACCGGATAAAGATTATCCATGATGATCCCCCCTTGGGCCCCACATTGCACTTCTAGTGGACCCCAATGATATACGACAACAAAACAAAACAAACAAACAAGAAACTAATAAATTAGGGTGTTTTGGTTTCCCAAGCAATTTCTTTTTCGACTTATTTGATTTCAACAAAGTGGTCATTTAGAATTTCATAAAAGGATACTCGTGATTGAGATGATCAAAATTGGATTCTTTCCAAACCAACCGTGTCTCTATTCTCCGAAGTCCTTCCATCTTATTATCATATCAAGCCACAGGTTGATCCATCTAAGCAATGAATAAAAGATATGTGGTTCCGTTCACTTCACCGATTCGAGTTTAGAATTTGAGTTTTGTTACAGTAAAAAATTTTTAAAAACAGTCACATCTAACTTCTTTGCTACAGTAAAAAGCTCTTAACTCGAATTATAAACTTGAATCAGCGAAGTGAATGGACCATGTAACAATCAGGTCAACATATAAAAATTTGAAATCTTTACGATGAGAAGATCAATACTACAAATTTATGCAACAACAAAGGAAGCAAACGACCAAACCAATTGAAAAAAAAAAAAAAACAAACAAAAAAATTTTTTGAAGTGGTCATCCCCCCTTCTGTTTCCTTTTTTCCTTTTTTTTTTTTTTTTTTTTTTCTTCAGGTTTTCAACATTAAAAATGGTGCTAGTTGGCGCCACCATAGGTGGAAGGGTGAAGAGGGGCTGAGGACGCATGAAGTTGATATAATATGTAAAAACGACAATAAAATAATAAAACGACAACAACTAACCTGACTTTACCGATAATGCTTCGCAGAGAGAATAACAAGAACGGGAAAG